TGGCCGTCTCGTCTGACCAAACGGCGACCTCGAGGGAGCGCTCGCGGCCGACGGAGCGCCGTCAACCGCTCGCCGGCGTGTCCGGCCGAGCCGCGCGGTCAGTCGCTTGCCGACTCGGCGACCTCATGGTTGACCGGCTCGCAGCTTTACCCGTCGGCGGCTCGGTCCTCGCCTGACGCAACTGCCGGGGGGCCGATGAACCCCCGGCGGAAAAGCGGCAGCCCGGCCTTTGAAGCGATGGCGCGTGCGTGACGAGCGGCGTACCTCCTGCTCTTTTTCAAGGAGCAGTCTCTCCTTTTCCCCGTCGGAGGCGGCGAGCGGCAGCGGGACGTCCGCGTGGCTTTCTCCTCCGTGCTTTTCAGACAAACTATCCAAAAGCGAGGAGAGGGCAAAAAGAACGAGAGAAGGCGGTGAAGACGAGAGCGAGGAGCCGTTCCCGTTCCCGCCCCCTCCCTCCATCCTCCGACCTGCGTCGGCGCTCCCGGACGACCATGCGCGTCATGCCGCGAATGCAGCGCGCCCGGTAGTTCTCGTAGTGGCTTTGGCAGGTCACGTCCTTCAGGTCTTGCATGTGCGTCCTCACCAGCATGTCCCGCAGAAGCAGGACGTCCGAGTGGGCCGGACTCTCCGCTGGAAGGCGCGCGGGAAGCGGCGCGTGTTCGGGCGCCCCGCCGCCGGCCCGCGGCTCTTCTCCCTCTCCGCCGCGGGCGCCGCCCCACCATCCGCTGTGCCCGCCCCACGTCAAAGCGGACGCGGCTAACCTCAAATGGGGCCAATCGCAGCCGCCTCCGATTCACCTTCACTACCCGCCCCCCGTGAGCGGCGACGGAGCGACCCCGCGCCCCGCCCCGGTGTCCCACCAGGCTCCGCCCGTGTCCCACCTCAGGACCAACGGCCTCATGCTGGATGACATGAGAGGAGGGGCCAACGCCAAGAGGAGGCCTGGAGGGTCAGTACCTCCAAATAATCCTCATCGGAAGAATGCGCCTTTCAAAACACTCGAGGCCACCTTCCAATCAAAGCAAGAGCAATTCATTCTTAGAAATCATCAAAGAAGAGATCAAGTTCAACTGAGTATGCGATTTTGTCCATTGCCAAAAACATTTTTCCAAAGAAAGTTTTGTTTTTTTCTAGTTTCCAAAAAGCTGATGGATAAATTGTGCCCAAAAGATGCATACGGTGGCGCCTTGAGATCAGAGTTGAGTTGTGTTGTCTTTTGGCCTTGAGGTGAGCGCAAATGTGGGGGAAAGCCTTCCGGCGTGCCCATCAAACCACCGTTGGCTTGTTTTGCAAACATGCATGAAACAATCCGACACATTTGCAAATCCTGAGCGCACGCGGACCCGAGGTCCTTCCTGAAGGTCCTTTTGGGCGTGTGGAGGGGCACCGGCGCCACCAATCGGAATAGGACGCTCCCTTCCCCTGCAACCGAGGCAACCTCAAGCGATGTTGGCCAGACGTTGCGCTCGGATCTCAAGGCCAACGCCGCCTCTCAATTTCGGTTGATTGATTTCTTTGAATTTTTTGTTGTTGTCTATTCTCAGGGCGGGCACCAGGGAGGTCCACAACAAGCTGGAGCAGAACAGGTGAGTTGCGCTGCGGACGGCTGTCGACTTCTCTTCTTCTCTTCCAAAATCATCATCCAGCCCCCC